TGCTCAGCGTTGAGCTAGCTGATGGTTCTCACCTGGGCCAGTCTTGCACCTGCCAGTGCAGGGCGGTGCATCCTTACCTTTTCTGCAACCCTGGCTGGATCCTTGCCTATTGTGACCCCAGGAGGTGGGACTCATGGGCCAAAGCTAGTGATTTCTGTGCATGCAGAGAGCCAAGCCCTCCTCTCATCTCCCCTGGGCTTTCCCAAGCCCCCTTCTTGCTCCTCCCAGCAGCCCAGGACTCGCAGGGCTGTCTGGTGTGGCTCCCACCAGCCATGAGCCACCCTCTGGGAGGCAGGCCCAATGGGGAGGAAACCAGGGACACGTGGGGAAGGTTCTGCTTTCCGGACGGCTGACCGCTGTGTGAGGTAAACCAATATAATCCGGCAGCGCGGCAAGTACTGCCACCCTTTAGAAAATTAACCTGTCCAGCTATCCCACCAACTGAAAACAATCGTGGCCTCCAGCCTGAATATCCTTCTCTTGGGAATTTGTTCTAAAAAATAAATTTAGCACAGGTGAAAGTGGCATGCCGGTGACTTTTTTTGGGGGATCACAAAAGGCAGTAACAACCTGTCTGTTATACCTATAAGTCTAAGGATAATTATAAAGACTTGGAAATGAATGAAAAAAAAGCAAACAAAAAGTCTATGTCCAATGTAATAAGTATGCCAAAAATGTATGCTGATGGGCAAGCTGTGTATAAATAGGAGATTTTAACTTGATGTGTATAAAGGTACTAACATTTGGGAATATTTTTAAATAAAAAATAATTCCATTAAAGCTGCCTGGAGACTAAGAAAACAGAGTCCTTGAAGTCAAGCTGACTCACCCTTTAGCCTCCTAAATTGAAAGGTAGATAGAACAGGTCTTGTTTGCAAAGTAAATTCGAGACCTACTGATCTACCAACAGAAAAAAAAAAAAAAAAAAAAGCTGGCCAATGTGGCTCAGTTGGTTGGGTGTCATCCCATGAACCATAAGGTTGCCAGTTCAATTCCTGGTCAGGGCATGTGCCCAAGGTTGCAAGATGTGGGCTCAATCCTCTGTAGGGGGCATGCAGGAGGCAGCTGATCAATGTTCCTCTCTCACATCAATGTTTCTCTCACTCCCTCTCCCTTCCTCTCTCTCTAAAAATCAATAATACATATATATTAAAATTCCACTGAAGATTTTTTAAATTATAATAATGCATTTAAATGGACATCCTCACTCGCTGCTAGTGAGAGTATAAACTGATATAATCTTTGCATAGGTTGGTCCAATTTACAGGGCAATTGGCAACATCTTAAAACGCCTGAAAATGCTTTTCATGCAGAAATTCCACTTCTAGGAATTTATCAAAAGGAAATAAAGAGGAAAATTAGGAGATTTATGATCAAGGATATTTATTGAAATATAATGGCAAAAAAACCTTGAAACTACTCAAATGGAAAAAAACAACTAAACATAGAATAACTACATGGGAAATTACATGCAATTGTTAAGCACATTTTGAAACAACATTTAATGACAAGGAAAATGCTCATGATATGTTACATGGAAAAATAATATATATTATGTATACATTTATGTTATGTATACAAATATATATGATTATTTATGTATCTATATAGAGCTACATTTATACATTTTATGCAAACATCTTCATTTTGAACATAAACATACATCAAAATGCTACATTATTATTTCTGGCAGGTATGATAATACGTAAGCAGTTTTTCTTTTTTTCTTTAGACTTTCATATATTTCCCTATATGTAGGGATTAATACCAGAATCACATCACATCAGGGGTCATATAATGTCAGGGTTTTTTTCAATGTTAGTGATGCTAAGTATGGTCATCTGGTTAAAGGGGAATCCTCCAACCACTGTAAAGGTACCTTTTCCCCTTTGTAATTGCTAAATAATCCTTAGGGTGATACCGCTACAGAGCACACAAATATCCTGTTCCCAACAATCTCTTGCTCTACAGAAATAGCATCCATTAATGATTACACAAAGGTTATTTCCTTACTTATTAGCTGACACCCTTCTGCAAAGAAGAGCTTCCTTTTCCCACTTTTTTAATATTACTATGGACTCTTGGGTTTATTATTATTATTATTATTACTCAATGTATTACAATCCATTGCTCTTATTCTTCTTAATGTTGGAATTGTCCCAAAGGTGGCCAGTGGGTTGCCCTTCAAGCCATTCACCGAGTCTCCATCATCCTATGTGCACTTTCTTACTTTATGTAACAATTCTCCTTGCCCCGCATGTGGATCTGGCCATCTCTACAGGAAGCCCTGGCTCCTCCGATGGATGGTGAGTGGCACATTGTTACTAAGTATCATTGCTTCTAGGCCCTTTCAGTGAACAGACCAGGAAATTGGGAAGTGTGTGTGTGTGTGTGTGTGTGTGTGTGTGTGTGTGTAAATCATGAGTTCATACTGGTACCTCCAATTCTAATTCAAACATCACATAATTCTTTGTCTTTTCCCTACTTGGTATTTGTATCCCCCTACTCCCAGGTGATGACAGTTTCCAACCCCAGTATGATTACTGACTTGTTCTAGCCCAGTGTTTCCCAACCTTCTCTCATGATGAGAATCACCTGGTGGAGTTGTTAAAACACAGATTCCCGGATCCCAACTATAAGAAGTGCTATCAGGAATCTGTGTTTTAACACCTCCACCAGGTGATTCTCATCATGAGAGAAGGTTGGGAAACACTGTTCTAGACTACACTACCGCCCCTAGTTCCAGATCACTAACCAATCCAGCGCTGGTATTGAAATGGTGCTATTAACACTATTTCAGATAGTTTTCTGTGCTCTTCAAGATGATAATCTATCAACCATTCATTCCCTCAAATAGTTATTGAGTTCAGAATAGCAATTCCCTTTTACCTTCAGCCCATGATTAAAAGCAGCCGGGATGTCAGCGGGGCACCGCTGCCCTCAGAGGCCGAGGTGGGATTCCATGACTTTCGCGGAGGCCAAAGCTGGGGCTTCTGCCGGCTCCCGGCCGTTCCTTCCTCAGGCTGACCCCCCACACTGCACCCTGACGGAGACCACATCTCTCAATATCCCTCAAATAATCCACTTTTGCGGACATTTCATGAACCAGGCAAACTTTGCTGAGAGTTTTCCAGGAATGATGAAAGAGACAATACTGGGTCAGTCAACGATTATCAAAGCACAGTAGGCACGACCCACCTCAAAAGACCCCCAGGGCCCTGGCCAGGTGTGGCTCATTGATTGGGCATCCTTAGAGGTCGCTGGTTCAATTCCAGGTTAGGGCACATGCCCGGATTGTGGCTCCCCCAGTAGGGGGCGTGCAGGAGGCAGCCATCAATGTTAATACGCTCACATTGATTTTTTTCACTTCTCCCTTCCTCTATCTCTAAAAATCAATAAACTATTAAAAACACTAAAAGAGAGCCCCCAGGCCCTGGCCTGTCAGCTCACCAGGTTACTTGCTCTCCTTCCCACTTTCTTCCTTTCCTTCCTCCTCTCTCCTCTCTTCTCCAGGATCAAAGCACAGTCCCTCCCGCTCTGGCAAGCAGACCAGCCTCCTCCTCTGAAGCCTGGCTCAACACCCCGATGAAACAAAGATAGCCTTCTTCCCGAGAGAAATTACCATGAATACAACGTCCTCCGCCTCATTGCACACCAGAGGGCCGGGATCTTTGGAAAGCTCGGTCAGTTCAAACATGGCAAACTAGCTGCAAACTCTCTCAGGACAAGTCTGTCTGTTCCATCGGCCACTGCCCCCACCGGTTACCGGGTCACAGATGGCTCACGCTGCCCAGGATCTGGCCACCTTGGGAAACTCTGGTTTCCAGGGCCACCTCCTCCTGTCCTCCACAACCCTCCCACCCTCACAGGCAAACTGGGCCGCCCCACGCTCTCCTTCCCAGGACACCAGCCAGGGCCCTGGGAGAGAAGCCGTGTTCTGGTCAGTGAGCCCAGCAGAGGGTCTGGCGCCCTGGCAGTGCCACAGTTCATGGGGGAGGGGCTCAGGAAGAGCCTTGGCCCCTCAGGACCTCTGATTTCTCACTGTGGCCTTGCCAAGTCGCCTGCCTAGACAAGAACCAGCCGAGGGCCTGAAGACCCCACTCACGGCTCTTCAGAGCTTTCAGGGCCTAGAATAGGGGTGTCGAACTCAATCAGAGAAGGGGCCAAAATCTAAAATCCAGCCTAAATCGCGGGCCGAATGGTTTACTGAACAGTCATAAACTGTCATTGTGATGGAAACGCAGCGGAGTGCAGTGATGACAGCGCGGTGCGGGCCACATTGCAAGGCCTGGCAGGACGGATTTGGCCCGCGGGCCTTGTGTTTGACACATGTGGCCTAGAAGATGTCCTGTGGGCAGACACTTCCCAAAAGGCCAGCAGGCAGCGCTAGAAACAGTCCCCAGTTGCTGGGGAGGGGGGAGGGGGAGTGGGGTCAGGGTGGTCGAGGAGGCGGGCAGTGCTAGGGGAGGAAAGTGTAGAAGATCATTCTGGGAAGTCGATCATGATCTTTGATGAGGGGAGGGGAACATGTGGAATCTGGAAAATACTCTGAAACTACATTGCAGTGGTTTTATTTTCTAGCTGGTAAGTAATTGCTTTGACAGTTGGTTTGATTCATAATAAAGCATGAGGTTTTTATGTTTAGTCATGGGATTTAGACCCAAATGGGTTAGTGATGTACAAGAAGGTTGCAGCCTCTCGGAGTGTTAGAGCTGAGGTGGAGGACGTGGCGCAGGCACAGAGCGGTGAGCGGAGTGGCCTGGGGCCAAGGAGAGGTGGACGGAGGTGGGTGAGCCTGGGCTCCAGCAGCAGGTCACGCTGTCGCCGCCCACCCGCCCCCAGAGCCCCGGCCGGCTCCGGCTCACGGTGGCCTGGGGAGCACTGAATGCCTCCCGACCTTCTGGGTGCCCCGCGGTTGCCTCTCAGCACCCCTCAAAGGCCTCCGTTAGCACCTCTATCGTTTGAGCGAAGCACTGGCCTCTGCTGACTCCTCCATCCACAGGTAGCATTTAGGTTGGGACTTATGTGGCAGCTGTATCTAGTTTTGCAGCATTCTGGAACTTCCTAGAAAGACACATACTCTAGGCTAGGCCAGGAGTTTCTGTGGTTTGGGGCTCCTCCCAGTTTCAGTGTGACGGCAGAGACAACTCCTTAGGAGAGTCCCGACGGTGCCGAGCAGCACAGCAGGAGGCCCGGAGGGTAGGCGGGACCAGCAAGGAAATGCCTGAGCCCTCCATCCCGCTGAGGCGTGCGGAGACCACCGGGTCAGCGGCCACGTCTCACAGCCCTGGGTGGTGCCCATGCACAGTGCGGGCCGTTCTGGGCCCCGGGGCCTGGCAGGCCTTGTGCTCCTCTCCGCCCTGGCTCTTCCCTCCCTGAGCTGACCCGCTCCGGGCTGACGCCAGGCCGTGCTCACAGGGATGGACGGGGAAGTGCCGTCTGAGCAGGAAGCCCACGAAGGGGCTCAGGGGCTTGCTCAGGGTGTGGCCCGCCCGGTCACCTTGGGAAAGGTCCCTAAGGAGCGGGGATGCAAACTGATGAAGAGTGAGGGCTCCAAGGACAGCGTACTTGCGTGCATCCCATGAGACTTCCCCTGTCCATTTCCTCATCCGCTCGATGGAGCTGAAACAGGTCTACCTCCCGGGCTGCTGCGAGTTAATCTGATGATCTGACCCAAGTACAATGCATACAACCTGCCGTGCTCACAGGAAGTGCTTAGCAAATCTTTGCTATTTTGCGTGTGCACGCATTCCCACACGCTTCTGTAAATACATGTGCAAGGGCTACAGAGACACGCTTCCTGGGGCAGCTGAAGTAAGCGGAATCTGTTTGAATTTGACAAGAGCAGGTGCTGGTGGGGCTGGCGAGCAACGGGAACATTGTGGATAGGAATGTAAAGCGTGCAGTCCGGCCGCCTCCTAGGAAGTGAAACACACACTTACCACGCTCACATTGTGAGCCAGCGATCCCGTGCCTAGTTCCTTACTCACAGAAGTGAAAGCACACATCCACACAAAGAAGGCTCACGGCGGTTTTATTTATAATAGCCCAGGTGGTCAGCAACAAGGGGACGGACAGACACATGCCGGGACGTCTGCCTGGTGGAATACGACCCGGCAATGAGAAGGGATGCAGAACTGACACACGCAACATCACAAATGAAACTCAAAAGCAGGATGTGAAGGAAAGGAAAGCAGGCGCCTACTGTTGTGTTCCATTTGCATGACATTCTGGAAACAGCCAGGCAGCAGGGACAGAAAACAGGTACGTGGTTGCCAGGGGCTGGATAGGGAAGACGGAATACTACCCTCTTTCCCCGAAAATAAGACAGTGTCTTATATTAATTCTTTCTCCCAAAGCTGCGCTAGGTCTTATTTTCAGGGGATGTCTTATCTTTCCATGTGCTAGGTCTTATTTTTGGAGGATGTCTTATTTTCGGGGAAACACGGTAACGGGAAGGAGGGGGCATTTTCAGGTCACAGAAATGCCCTACATTGTTACCGTGGGGCTGGATTCATGAGTGAATGTTGGTCAAAATTCACAGCATGGCCGGGACCGGTTTAGCTCAATGGATAGAGCGTCGGCTTGGGGACTGAAGGGACCCGGGTTCGATTCCGGTCAAGGGCATATACCTTGGTTGCGGGCATATCCCCAGTAGGGGGTGTGCAGGAGGCAACTGATCGATGTTTCTCTCTCATCGATGTTTCTAACTCTCTATCTCTCTCCCTTCCTCTCTGTACAAAATCAATAAAATATATTAAAAAAAAAAAAAAAAAAAAAAGAATAACACAAAAAAAAAAAAAAAAAATTCACAGCATGGCTCACACGTAAAAGGTAAATTATACCTTTATCACCTGGGAGAGGAGGGAACGGAATAGGAAGGGTGCATGAAGGATACTTCTTTGTTCTACTTAAACATTTGTGCTGTTCGAACTTTTATAATGAGCGTGTGATTCATGAAGTTGGAAATAAGTTTATTAAAGTGTGAAGTGATGGTGAGGACGATGGTGAGGATGGTGATCTACCTGCCTGGCAGGGTCATGGTGAGATCCGAATGAGATGAGACAATGTGTAGGGAGGGCGCACACACAGATTCCTCGGATCTTCTAGAGTAGGGGTGTCGAACTCAATCAGAGAAGGGGCCAAAATCTAAAATCCAGCCTAAATCGCGGGCGGAATGGTTTACTGAACAGTCATAAACTGTCATTGTGATGGAAACGCAGTGGAGTGCAGTGATGACAGCGCGGTGTGGGCCACATTGCAAGGCCTGGCGGGACGGATTTGGCCCGCGGGCCTTGTGTTTGACACATGTGTTCTAGAGGACAAGGCGAAGGGGCCGAGGGGCCTCCGCAGGAGTGACAGCCATGACTTACCTCAGTGACAAAGAGCGTTCGAGGGTCGATGATATCCAAGAAGTGCCTGAAGCGGCCATAGAAGGATGTCTGGAGAAGGGGGTGGGAGAGGAGAGGAGATCAGCTACTGTAGACCAGTGTTTCCCAAACTTTTGACATAATTTTCGTAACGCTGTGTACCCCTCATACTCATGAGAATGTAGAATTAGGTGCAGCTAAGCACGGTGCAGTGCATATCCCCACCAAACTCCGGTGCAACGCGTACTCCCACCAAACTCTTCGCGTACACCTGGGGGTACGTGTACCACACTTTGGGAAACACTGCTATAGACCATCCTCCAGCCACTGGGGACCCGCCCCCCACACCTCACCCCCACTGTTGGGGCCCACAGTCATGGGAGATGCATACCAATGAGGCCTCCCTGCTCAGTGACCTGAGAGCCGTTTGCCCAGGCTGAGGGCTTTCGAACATCAATTCAGAAAGACCATTAAGGCTCAGTGACTGTCCCAACTTCTCTTTGAGGTGTGTCCCATTTTTCTTCCTTTTCCCGCAGGGCCCTGAGGTCCACTCCAAGCCTTTCCGCAGCTCCCATTCCCCACCACTGAGCACAGGGGCTGGAGGTCGGGCCTGGTCCCCACCCTCTCCCAGCCTTCCCTGACCACCACAGCCTCCCAGCCTTGAAAGGGCCTCTCCAGTGAGGGAAGGTCCCTCTCCAAGGTCAAGTTCCCCAGAGGCAGAGCTCCAGCACCTCAGCCCCCTGCGTGCACCCCCAGGCCCTCCTTCACCCACGGCTCTGGAGCTGCTGTGAGGCCCAGGACAAGGGGCTGACCCCCTCCAGCCTGGCCCCGGGGCAGGGTCCGTGGAAAAGAAGAGCTTTGTGCAAAGCAGGCCACAGGCATTAGAGCCCAATGAAAGGCAACCCAGCAACCAGGGACAGAGCCAGCTAGGCAAAGCCAAGCAAGGGAGGGGACAGGGGGGTGCCAAGCTAGGGGACAAAGGGAGAAGCTGCAAACGCCAGGGGTTCATGCCTCGTTACACTCCCAAGCTCTGTCCCAGATGCTCCCAGGAGCCCCACAGCCCTCCGGGCACCGTCCTCTGCTCCGCACAGCGAGGGAGCACACGCCTCCACACGCCTCCCCGTGCTCACTAGGAAACCAGGCCCTGCAGCCAACGTCTGCTCCTTCCCCTTCCCTGTCAGACCCTGCAACAGGCCCCTGGTCACCTCCAAGTCCCCTGCACACAGCAGGCCCCCCGCGGCCTCCCGCTCTGCTCACCACCCCGCCCTGGAGCAGCCTCCACCTCCTGCCTTTCACAGATGAAGCTTCGCTGCCATTCCTCTAACTCCCACAGTCAAAGGGCCTGAACCGCCAAGCTCACGCTGTTGTCCGGGCAACAGGACCTCCGATAACAGAGTCTAAGGAAACAGGCCGACATCCGGAGGTTCAGCCAGAGGTCCACCGTATGCTGATGACGTTCTCTGTCAAGGCGGACAGGGACTGAACACTATGCCGCCATTTGAAAGAGATTGTTTATGGCACAGGAAAATGCGTACGACGGTGTGAAATGCATATAAAGAGGATGATTCCAATTAATAGTCAGGGAAATAAGTACGGCCAGAGGATGGTAAGTGACTAGTAAAGAGGCAGAATGACATACAGGTTCTGTTTATCACTAAAATGCATCAGGGTCCCTCAGGGAAGTAGCCAGTTCCAGGGCCGGGGCAGGGAAGGTACCAAACATTTTGTTGGGCCAGAAAGTAATAAATGACGGGGGCATGTTAAAAGGACCGAGGAAGGGGAGATGGACACTGTGTGCCTCCGGATGTGATACCTGGAGAAGTTCACACTGTCGCTCACACAGGATTCTGGAAGGACTGAATCTAAGCATGAAGAAGCATCAAACAAACCCACACTGGGGAACATTCCGCAAAATAACTGGCCTTCTTCATCAAACATGGCAATGCCATAAAGACAAATCGCTGCGCTGGGACTGAGGGACAGCCCACGTGACAGGAAACTAAAGCGACAACTAAATGTACCACGTGATTCTGATTGAACCTTGGACAGGAATGGGGTGGGAATGATACTTTCAAGGGCACTACTGAGACCACTGACCAAAAAATGTAGGCCATAGATTAGTGAAAGTATTTTATCCATGTTAATTTACTTAATGTAGTAACTATACTGTGGTTCTTACTTCAGACTGAATGTTTGAGCCCTCCCCCCAATATTCATAGATTAAACCCTAATGTTCAAGATGACAGTATGAGAGGGGGGGCCTTGGGGAGGCGGTTCGATCTGGGGGCACAGCCCTCAGGAGTGGGATCAGTGCCCTCACGAGAGACCCCAGAGATCTTGGAGAAGGTGACTTCTCAGTGAGTGTGGAAGAGGAGGTGGTTGGGACACTTTTTTAGGGTCCTTGAGAGAAACCCTGTTTCTTTGTAGCTGTTCTAATGCCTGTCCTCCCGGCCTGATGAATGGCAGAGAAGGTCCCTATGTTCTCAGTCTAATTAATTTTTATTTTCTCAGAAGTTTAAAATGTATGGCTTCCCCCCATCTCCAGAATTCAGCCCCCCGCCCCTCTTTCCTTAGTCAGTGGATGGATGTTTTTCCTTCCCTTTTTCTTCACCTGAAGAATGAGTCAGCTAAGTGATTCCTTGCAGTTCCTTGCACCAGAAAGGTGAGTCAGCTAATTCTCAGCAGGGCCCGGGGCCTGCAGTACAAGGCCTTCCCACCCCCGCAGCCGCTGGGGGAGAGCGGGCCTTGGGAGCAGCAGCTGAGGGCCATGGTCTGAGGAGGAACCGCCAGCTCTCCTGTGCCAGCCCTCTAAATCTCTGTGCTTAGGAACGAAATACTGTAGCTCAAAGGCAGAAAAACTGGGCCAGCTCACCAATCCTGGGCCAAGCTGCACACTGAGTCACCTGGTATTCCAAAACCCAGCTCAACACCAAGGAATTCAAATTCTATGGCCGAGGTGGGGGGAGGTAGGAGGGGGGGGAGGGCTCCAGGCATCAGGTGAGCCATGTGCAGCAGGGCTTGAGAGCCACTGGACTAGAAGGTATTAACCCTTCCCACAGCACAACCAGCCCAGGGCCAGCCCCAGGACACAGCCACTAAGTCTGCAGGACAGAAGTTGTTACAACACATAACTACCTACAAGCCATGTCACTGCAGAACTTATTCAGACAAACTGCATGAGAAACTTCCCCATGGACCCTGACCTCAGCCCGCACAAACCTCCCCTCCCCGGAGGGCAGAGCGCGTTTTCCTGCCCAGCAAGCTCCCCCTACCCCAGAGGGATTCCCGGGCAGCCCATGTGCTCTGCCACCGTGGGCCTCAGCTGATCTCAGAGCCCAGCACACCCCTAACCCCGTTATCTTAGCAGACACTGGAAAGCGAGACTTCTGCAGGACAAGAAGTTTTTTTTAAAGAGCCAACAAACAAAAGCCCCACGTATTTCCGGAGAGACTGAAATACAAATGGGGAAGAGCATGTTCCTGTCCAGGGGCCCCAACTTGCCCCAAATGGGCCCGACGTGCAGAAAAGAGCAGGTTTGGGAGAGGAAACGAGCAGAAAGGAGGAGGGAAGGGGCACAGTCGGCCACAGAGCTTCTCAGGTGTTGTCTTGTCATCTTCCCCTCTCGGCGGCCCCCTCCCATTAGGCAATAGAGGTTAAAAGCATGGCCTCCAAGATCACAAGGAACAAGAGGGACCAGAGCATGGTCAGTAAACGCCACAGACATGCCTCCAGTCACATTCAGAGTGTGGGAAAGTCTACAGGACAAACCAGTCAGGTTCTCAACAGATAAGCAAGGGAAACAAGGAGGGGTGGAGAAATAATAGGTTAGAAGGCACATAGCAGTCAAATATAATGTGCCGGCCTTCTGGGATCCAAACAAACTTGATTATCTAAAATATGATGTGACCATCAGAGAAATGTGCACAGTGCAATGGACTGATACCGTGTGCTGAAAGCAGCCCATGTGGTGAGAAGACGTGTTTGAAGGGGTGGGTGGGGCTCAGTGTGAGGAAGACAAGTTGAGCAGCTGTGGGCCATGCCGGTCTTTGGGGCCCCTTCAAAAGTGAGGTCCTCATTTCAGAAGCAGAGGCAGCCACTGGCGGGTGTTCGAGCTTTGGAGGGATTGGGGGTCGGGGGTGGGGAGCCAGGGAGCCCTTGATCAGATCTGCACTGGGACGCTGCCATGAAGAGAAGAAGGACTGAAAGTGGAAGCAGTGAGACCTGTTAGGAGGCTCAGGAGGGAGGTGTTGGGGCCTGGTCTAGGGTTCCAGCAGCGGAGACCCGTGGATTGGAGAGCTGTTTAAAAATATATTTTATTGATTTTTTACAGAGAGGAAGGGAGAGAGATATAGAAACATCGATGAGGGAGAGTCATCGATCAGCTGCCTCTTGCACGTCCCCTACTGGGGATGTGCCCGCATTTCGGCATTGAGAGCTGTTTAAGAGAGGAGAACACTGACCTCGGCTGCATTTAGAAAGTGAGGGAGTGGAGGGGAAGAACTAGTACACAGTGACCCCAGGTTTTGTAGGAGTCAGTCGGGTGGTGGGCTGAGCTGCCTGCACAGCTGGGAGCAGCGTGGCAGGGAATGTCTGCGGGGGAAGCCGGGAAGCCGAGCTCTCCCAGGCAGGGATCACATGCGCTGTGCCTGAGGCAGGTTCCTGTGCTGGAGGAGGAGCCCTTCCTTCCAGAGCAAACACTGTGACTGCCTTGCAGAGGCTTGCCAGGGAGATACTGGCAATGGCTGCCAGGACAGAGGAGATTCAAGTGTGCACGGATGGCTCCAGCAGGGATCACGGCAAAGGGCTCAGTCCTCGGACGGTCTTGACAAGTGTCTGTTGTGTGACTGAATGTCCCAGAACAAGTCCCGGAGAAAAACCATCGCACAGATCTTTATCCCGCACATCACTGTGTGTCTGGCCCCACCTCAGGGTTAGGATGGAGGCAACGGAAGGGCAAAGGTCAGCCCTTTCACTCAGAAAGTGCACACAGGAGTTAAGGAGACCAAGTAATCAGAGCATCAGGCAGGCTGACTTATAAGGATCCCGCTTGGGGTGGCCAAGGAGGTGGCAGAAAGGAGTGGTACCCTGGGGGAGGAGGGGGGGAGGGGGGAGGGGGGGTTGGCGGGTAATGTCACAGGAGGCGGGCCTGGCTAAGCCCTGACCAATGCCTAGGGCAGGGAAAGGGGGAGAGCCAATGAGGGATCACTCACATTCAGGCAGGGGCACCCTACTCTGACAGTCTCCCCGGAGTGGCACCCTGCACTGGCAGGAACAGTCTCGCCTCAGACACCTACACGCTGTGCTGATTTCTTTTTTTAAGGCAATTAAAGCCCTGTTTTTTTAAAACAGTGAGGACATTTTCTCAGAAAGCTGACGGACACAGCTCCCTAGTTAACCGCGAGGCTCAATGCACCACCTTTCAAGACCCAGTTTCTCTACCACCACCACCACCAAAATAAATAAGAAAACCGACCTTTGCACATTTCCTTTCTTCCTGCAAGCTTCTTTCTGTCCGCCTCCGCTGCCCCCACCCCACCCTAGGCTCTCACTTTAGCCAAGTCTTTTGCCCTTTTCCTAACAAAGTTCATCTCCTCCGCGATGCAGGCAGCCGGGGGCCCCCAACGGTTAGGCGGGGGCTCTCCCGTACGCGGCAGCCCGCGGCGTGGGGATGGCCTTTCGCAGCCGCTAGCCCCGGCCTCGTCTAGGCTGCGGGTTCGATCCCTGTCTCTGTGGCCGAGGACGAGTTAGCGGCGCCCCACCGGGGGTCCGAGCAGGACGGCGGCGCTAGGCTCAGGTGCCCAGACCCTTCACCGAGGGGGCAGAGAAGGAGGCCGGTGCCTGTTCCCGGGACTGGACCCTCTGCCCCCGGAGATAACACAGCGTCTCCCCCGCACCCAGCTCTCCCCGCCGGCCTTCACTCCACCCGCCGCAGGGCACCGGCCGGCCAACCCGCCACGCCAGTGGATGGCCGGCCGGAGGGGACCCGGCGCACACGGCGGACCCGATTGGGGTGCAGGGCTGGGAGCGTGACCGGGGCGCTGCCACTGCCGGGGGCGCCTCCAGACGCTCGGAAAGGCGGTCAGTCCCCACCCGGGGGAACGGGCAGAGGGCATCTCGGCCAAGACAACTTCTCCTCCAGGCCGGACTCGAACTTTCCGCTCAGAGTGGGCACCTGCCTCGCGCAAGGCGACCCTGCAGCAGCAGCAGCAGCCGCTGGCCCCGATGCCCACATTCCCGGCCGCAGCGGCCAATCACAGAGCGTCTCCGCGGGGCAGGGAAGGCGGGCGCGAGCAGCCGCAGAGCGACGGCGACGGTGGCCAATGGGGAGCCGAGGTGGGGGTCCTCGCTCGCCCCGCTGACCAATAGGAAAGGAGTGGCTTTGGCCGAGGTCCCCGGCCAGTCGCTGCAGGCTCCGGGGTAGCCGCGGGTCCAAGACCCTGGGGCTAAAGGGGGTTTGGGAAAGGGCTCCGCTGACCATCCCGGTGCCACCCGCTGACCCTCGGGCCGCAGCCCGGTCCTCACCTGCTGGAAGCGGGGCTTGCCCAGCTGGAAAGGAGGTGCATCGGTCGCGGCGCTGGCGGCACTGGCCGCTGCCGCCGATGCTGTGGTCGCTGTATCCGCCATGGCCACTGACGCCCGCAACCCCGGCCCTTTTAAAATGTCCCTCCTCGGCCCCCGCCGCAGCTCCCTCCCCGGATTGGCCGCGAGCATCCGCAGCGAGTCGGAGGCGCAGAGTGTTGTGGGGAGTGTAGTTTTTCTTGCCAAGACGCTGGACAGCCCTGGATTGCGGAGTTGCACCAACGCAGACCGGAATTGGGTTCCCGCTGCTAGTCTGCAGACCCTGCTAGTGTGGGTGTCTCAAGTCCCCACCGAGGGGCCCGCGGAGCGCCCCTCCCTGTCCCCTGCCCCTAGAAGTTTGAGTCGCTGAGGTGGGCGTCACTCCTGGAGCGCATGGGGCCCCGGACCTGATGGGCCAGAGGCGGGTTAGGGTTATTCTCCGAAGGCTTTCTGCAGGAGTTGCACTGCGGAATATTCCTGCAGTTCTGCCCCACCCTGCCTCCTGCCCTGTGCTCTATAGCCACCCTGCTAGTCGGTTCCTGAGGCACGCTGTGTGCTCCCCGCCCGATCCTGGAACATTCTATACCCAGAAAACGATTAACTTTTTATCTCACCTGATGCTTTTTATTTTTTTTAATATATTTTATTGGTTTGTTTTACAGAGAAAGAGAAACATCAATGAGAGAGAAACATAGATCAGCTGCCTCCTGCACACTCCCCACTGGGGATGTGCCCGAAACCAAGGCACATGCCCGGGTTGGCACTTAAACCCGGACCTACGCTCTATTTCTGTTAGGGCTGGCTCTTTATGGTCTCAGTGTACACATTGTGTTTCCCAATCTATCAATCTATCTCCCTCAGTGTAAACATTGTTTCCCAATCCACAAAACCCACTATAACCCAACGCCTCTCTTGGGCAGCCCTTGCCTTTATTTGAGTGTCTTGTCTTTCCTACTGTGAAGTCCGCAGGGCAGAACTTGTGACTTCTTAATTCACTGCCAAGTCCACGGTGCCAGACGTGGGAGAGCTCACTGTAGGGACTCAAACACAGGGTGTCCCCCAAAATGTATAAAAGCTGACAGCTCACTTGCTGTTTCTTTCCGATTTAACCCATTGGAATTAATATACAGTGTATACATTTTGGGGGAATGCCCTATAGTTGTTGGCTGAGTTAAATGCACAGGAGCCTTACCAGCCTCCACTTCCTTTTGCCAAGGAAGATCCCTCCTGGGGCTAATTCCTAGGCAGGAAGAGAACTGGGAGTGGGGAGTGGGGTTCAGTGGGGTCACAAGGGCTTTAGGGAGGGGGAGTACCGCGGATGGTACCAGCAGGGATAAAGAACACAGAGGGGGAGGGAAAGGGGGAGCTGCCTGTTTCACACAGAGTGCAGGAGAAATGTTTAGTTTGACTCTAGGGAACCCCATTTTGGCTCTCCTTAGTCTTGTGGTGAGGAGGTTGGCTCATGCCTTCCCATGTGTTTCTTAACAATGTATGGTCCATAGCTGTCAGTTCATCCTCCAACAGCTGAACCATAGACACAGATGTTATTGAAAGCTGCAGAGAAATTCCCACTAGCCCTGAAGAACCATTTGTATCTTGGATTTGTAGCTTACCTTTCCCTAGCTAAATGGTTTGAGAATAGCAATCAAGTCTTTTATCCTCTGTACTAAGGACCCAGTGCACGAATCTGTGCACATTGAAAGGAACTGTGGGCTGTGAGGCTGCAGTAGGCACAGGGGCGGACCTCCGCTCCCCCACTGTGCCCCGCCTCCCCTCTGGTCTGACAGCCCTCCCCCGCACTGATGGCTCTGGCCCAGCTCGCACCCACTAAAAGTGCAGAGCGATTGGGACCAGTTTCAGCAGCAGCAGGTGTGAGCTGGGCCGGTGCAGTCAGTGGATGGGAGTGGCGGCTGCCGGCCCCAATCTCCCCTCAGGAGCAGGGGGAGTAGAGGAGCCCTGAGGGGCGATCATGGCCGGCACTGAGCACCCACAATGGGTATGAGCGGTGGCTCTGGCTCCAGCAGCAGGTGCGAGCACCAGGCAGGACTGCGGCATGGAGGAGCAAAGAATTTTCAGTAACCACCTGAGGCTCACCCCTCACAGTGACTGGCGCCCCACCTTGGTCTGGAGCCCCCACTCACCTGCTTCACGATCCCACCACGGCAGACTGGAGAGAGCTTTCTCTTAATTCTTATCAGCTGAGCCCGAGGGCACTGGCAGAATCCTGTTATCAGTACTGATTTCTTAATCCATGTGCTTGGGATGAGGAACAAATAGGACCTTGACTCACCCAGGTCTTCATATGCTAAATCTTGTATCAAAAAATAAGGAGCTTACCCAGATTTTGATGAATAGGATCTGGGCTCACCCAAAACTCCTTTTGACCTTAAAACTCCCCTTTGGAAGCCAATAAATATGCTGTGTTGTCTGTGGCAAGTGTGACTATCTCTCCATCAGAGAGATGGCACCCACCTAGCTCCCAGCTTTATGAATCTATTTCTGCCTCTTGTCTCTTTCTCTAATTTCTTAATCCCCAGCTCCTCCCCTCAGGAACCTGTCGTTTTTCCGTGGACTCAGAAAAAGGAGAAACACCACAGCTGACACCTTTTTCCATGTTCTGCACACACCCTGGTGGTCAGCACACATCACAGTGACCAGTTTTTCAGTTGTTCTGCCATTTGATCTATTTGCATATTAGCCTTTTATTATATAGGATTATATAAGATTCCCCAAAGTATTCAATAAATGTATCCTGGGAATGAGAAAAGACTGAGTCCAGGCCGCTGGGCAATGCTGTGCTGCTGCCCTGATGTGAGGACAGGGAGAGTGTTATCCTAGAAGGCCATCACCTGCCTTCCCCAGGGAGCGTGCTTCACATGCTCATCAAACCAGGAACACAACAGAGCCGCTTGCAGTCTGTGTACTTTTTTATTCTTCATAAAGTGCTCGAAACATGAAGAGCAAGGTCTTTATAAACAGGAGTTACAACTAGGAAGACAAACGGCAAAGCAGAACTGTGCCAGCTCCCTGCCCACCCCCCTGCAGCTCTCCTCCAGCTCATGGCCAGGAGCAGAAACATCTGACAAGAACCTGGGCTTCAACTCCAAACTTCCAGAGACATCCCTGGCCTGGGCATTCTGAAAGTTCACAATCCAAGATGAGTGGAAGGTCAGCCTCAGGACTGGGACTGATTAGAGCCCAGAGGAATACCTAGTAGAGCAGTGACTCTTTTCCCCCAGAAGAGTTACCTGTCCAACCTCCAATGACTCCCTCTACAAGCAGGACCAAAGTCCTAGGACCTGTGGACACTTTCCTCAGCCTTGATGAGTGTCTTTAAGGTAGAGAATGTTAAGGGGCTTTCCCCCATATGTGGGGCTCCTCTGCTTTGTCCTGGCAGATTACATCCCCCATTGAGATAATCTCCTTCCAAGGCTTTCCGAGTGACTCCAAGTGTGACCCCACAGGCCAGCTCAAGAAAATGAGGCGATCCCCGAGGAGCCCTTACCTCCTCATTGGGTCAAAACTAGCCTCTTTCAGCAACCTCCTCACCCCACAACTTTGCTAAAGCAGGGCGCCCTGAGCCACCAAAGGCCCCCTGCAGATGCCATGGGGAAGCCTGTTTTCTGCAGCCGAACCAGGGCTGGGCCAAAGGACACACACTTCGTTCAAAGTGCACTGCAGCCAAGCCAGACAAGGCTATGGGGAAGCAACAGGCTGAGTCAACAGGTAGAGGACAGATGGGAAGGCTTTTTCCTACGTATAGGCAGAGTGGATCTCCTACTTCCAGAATGCAGTTTCCCCCAGGATCCTCCTCAGTTGGTGCTGAGGGAGAAAGAGAAGCCAGCAGATAGGTAACGGGAGCAGCAGCAGGTTGGCCGGACTCTTCACTGAAATTAACTCCAGGGGAGGGCAGAGCAGCAACAGGGCTGCCTCCTCCTCCATTCCGTTCCTAGCACCCTGCCAGATCCAGTCCCTTGCACTCAGCAGGGAAGGAGAGGGGCACCAAACAGAGGGCGGGTCTACATCCAGAGGCCCCTGACCCCACCCACAAAAGGCACGTTTTAATCAGTTTCCAAAAGTTCAAATCCTGTAGCAGCACAGCATTTTGGCATCTGGACAGACAACAAGAATAGGGATAGAGGCTTGATTCCCAAACAAGCAGCCCAAAGCCCCAAAGCCTGAAGGGGCCCACACCATAGAGGTGGTCTTTCCACATGTTGACAGATGACACTCGGACAGATCGAAGAGGAGGGCAGAGAGTGGCCTGGAGAATGCACATCATCCCCTATCCACACCACATCCGCTCCTCAAACAGCTGGAGACACACAGACTCAGGATACGGCAGACAGGACACTTGACCTGCGGTCACCAACCAGAGGTCCACAGACCCCTGGTGGTCCATGAGGTCCGAAAGGTTGGCGACCGCTACACCAGACCATACAGGCTCCTTGTTCCCGGGGAACTGACGTGAGGCTGAAGAGCAGGTGCCCTGGTTGCCCGTAACTCACAGACCAATGGGCAGGTTGGTCCCTGCCACAGCCCTAATACCAGGAGCCCTCCAGGGGCTGGAGGAAGATGAGGAAACGGGTTTAGCTGTGGGAGAAATGGCTGACCATTCCTGTGGGGTAATAAAGTATGTCCCAGATACCACATCAAATTGCAGCTCACCCCTGCTCTGTCCTGAGGGCTAAATTCTTAGTTCTAATTTTGGAACCCTCAAAGCTAAGGAGTGGGAAAATAGGCAGGTAGGTGAGACCCACCTCTAATCGGAGTCCAAAGGCCCTGCCAACAACCCCAGTTGAGGCAGGAGGGAGGGGGAGCAAAGGGTGACAGCCGAGGACAGACAGACTGCGCCTGCCCAGGGGAGTGAGTTCGGCAGGAGGAGGGAGGTGAGTCCTGCTTGGGCAATGGTCCTCGCCAACCCTCCTGGGGGGTGAGGGGGAAGAGGGCTACTGTGGGGGGTCCGGGGGGATCTGCAGCAGCGTGGGGGAGGTCTCCATGATCCGCACCAGCAGCCGGTCGATGTAGCTCTCCAGCTCCTGCACGTGCTCGTCCCGCTGGCTCAGCTCCCGCTCGCGCTGCAGGAGCAGGCCGATGAGCTCGTCGTGGGTCAGGTGGTAGTACTTGGCGGACTGGTCCGGTGCACCAGTATCCTGAGGTCAGATGGAAAGAGAGTGAGCAGGACACCCTCAGGCCTACCTGCCTGACTGACCACAACACCCCAGGCCCCAGAGCTGCCTGTCGCCAATGCCAAAAATGGCCCAACTGGCTTCAGGGCTCTGGCACGGGGGGCCAGGCCTGCTCCTTGCTCCGTCCTGCACAACACCCTGTTTCTGAATTCCTCTCTCCCAGCACCGCATGTCTGATCTGATCCCCCATCCTGCCAGGCCTCACCTTCGGCCTCTTAGTGTCCACAGCCTGGCCAGCCTGGGAGGCCGGAGCCACGGGCTGAACGCTGCCGGACGTGACTGTCTTGAGCTTCTCCAGCCCACTGCTCAGGGCTGTGCTCAGACTGGAGCGGGGCTGCTTCCTGTCGGG